TCTCTGGGTCTCTCATCATACATCATTCTTATTCACTTTCGAGTGAATCACATTGATCACCCGAAGTCCCTCTGCTTGCTGTGGTGGCGGTGGTGGTGGTGCTATTGCTAGTACTTGGGAAAGCCTTGCATGTTTTTCTCTTATCTTGGCCTCATTTACTAGATCTCTCATGTGACCTTGTCTGACCAGATCCTCCAAGTGCATTTTCAGAGCCCTACACCCCTGAGTCAAGTGCCCATCTTCATTATGGTAAGCACGATGCTTCCCAATGCTCCTTTCCATAAATTTTCCAGGAATCTTCTCCGGTGCTCTGTAATATGGCTGGTTTCCTATCATTTCCAGAACTTTGTAGATTGGGATCCTGAATACTGTGGTGATTTCCTATGCAGCCCTTACCCCTATTTCCTGCTTGTCAGCACCGGTATTATCTCGGCCTCGCTTCAGCGAGCCGTTTCTCCTTTCTTACATAGATGTCTTCATTTCTTTCGTGTCCTCTTCTGCTCTGGCATACTTTTCAATCTGTGCCATGAACTCCTCCATATTCTTTGGTAGGGTTTTTGTAAGCGATTTTTGAAGTGAGCATTCATTATCCAGGCCGTTCTTAAAAGATATGACTGCCAGCTCCTGGTTGCATCTTGGAATCCGATTATACACCTCATAATATCTCTTGGCGTAAGCCCTGAGGCCTTCACCATCATTGATCTTCAAAGCCAATAGGGAGTCTACCCTTAGTGGCTGTGATTTGTTCGTAACAAATCTGGCCACAAACATCTCGACCAGGCCTTCCTAACTCTTCATAGTTCCTTTCAGCAACTTATGAAACCAGTTTGATGCTATCTCCATAAAGGAGGAGGGGAATACCTTGCACAACAGCTGCTTATTCCCGCTCCACAAAGCCATTGAATTTAAATACAAGCCGATATGAAAGTTTGGATCAGACTTACCGTTATAGATCTGGAGCCACGACATGTGGAATTTCTTTGGGGCCTCAAACGTATCCAACTTCACCGAGAAAGGTGTCCTCAGCTTGACGGGGGATGTGATATCGGCATTGTGCCGCTTCCTCTGGAGGTAGTCTCTCAAATCCTCCTTCTTTCTTCTGGGAGCTTGGCTATCAACAGATTTCAGTCTCTTTAGCGCGCTGCTTTTAGTGTAGTTATGCGTTCTCTTGGACTTCCCATTATCCACTTATCAAAACAAAGGCCCTTCCCATGTGTATGTCGAGGTTCCTTGACATAGGTCCCCTTTGTTCATGGTGTCTTCTGCGACTCATCTCTTACTGACTCTGTTCGTCCGATATCCCGTGACAACTAATGTGAGTGCTCCTGTCCCTTGCTATGCTGTAGGACTACTGGGATTGTTTTTTGTCCCCTTTTTTGGGCATCTGTCTTGGCTACTGGTACCGGGGTGTCCTGCAACGGGAATGGTGGCTGCATCACGTTGTTTTGCATCATAAAATTGACAACCGATTGTAGGTTTGCCAACTTGTTTGCCGTCCCTTTTATCTCGTCATCCCTCCTCAGGCACCTATCCTTCCATACCTGGAGGTCACTTTCATTGTAATACTTATCTCGGCTAACGCTCTTTAGGGTTATCCTCTTTGCCAACATCCCTCTCCCCAGAATTTGGATCATGTGCTCCTTCATTACGATTTTCTTCTCTGACATTAGGATCCATATGTTCCTCACTCTCACTGTCGATATTGTCCCCAATCTTTTCTTCTTGCCCGTTGCTGGCCATCTATTCTTCTTAAGTTCCCACAGACGGAGCCAAATTGTGGGTATTGATTTCCAACCACACAACCAAACGGGGAACTAAACTAGAGAGGACCGGTATAATAGATTAAACCCAACAACTTATAACAAGAAGACAAGAATACTGCAGTGGTTCGCCACCCGGGGGCACTTCGATAATCAAGTCAGTGATTAATATCTCTCACAGATAGCAAATAGTGCTTAAACTCACAATAAAGAACCTACCTTAGACCCACGAGGGTGCCTTGCTTTTATAACCAGCAGTGACCTGATCCTTTTAGAAGCCTTACTTCAATGAACTCAGGATCAATGCCCATCCTGGACCCTCATCTAGATAAAGATGAACTCTTCTTAAGCCTTATCTTTATCCATAATGAGACCCTCCCCTATTTTAGGGCTCTTGTCTCTTATCTGTTTATCTCAAATTCCGGTATCTCCACAGATAACCTCGGCCTAACCGTGATCATCTCGACAGCATGACCAGGCCACGTGGCATCTCAGCTGACACTTTGGTGTCACCTTAGCCATGTGCTGTTATTCACAAAATACTTCCCCATATATACAATAAATCATTACAAACTAATCTAAGAATGAAAAATCTTCATGAAGGTTTTTCATAATATTTGTTTCATGATACGTAATATTATTGATTGTGTTTTTAGTAATCAAAACAATGTGGTATTAGTTTTATAAATTTGGTTATCCAGCGCTTATGTGTCACAAATTTATAGTGTAAAATAGTCAATTCATTAGATATTTTGATAAGAGTGACACTATTCTAACTTAAAAATTAAATATATTTTTCAAACTTAGAATATGTAATATAATTCTATCTCTATCGCATATCCTTTCTGATTATCAATCAATCATTTCACTTATATATCATTGGATTTAGAAAGTGAACTTGTATATCATTTTTTAATGGTTTAAGAGTCCAAAATACAATCTTTGCAAGATTAAATCACTTTTCAAAGTATTAAATAATTGTGTCTTGAACTTTTAACTTAGATTAATTATTGAAATGAGTAAATTATTGCAGAGGACCAGTTGCACATAGTTCTCTTGCTGCAACCAACTTTTTGTGTTTTGAACATTTAAAATGAGTAAATCCTTCTTTCAAATTTCACTCGGTATAGGTCGTTTGGAATCAACTTTTTATAAATTATATGTAATCTGTTTTTTTTTTTATCCTTGCTTCACTTTAGTTTTGTATTAAGTAACTGAAAACACTACAAGAATTAACACTTTTACCGACCAAAAAATTGGTCGCTAAAAGCCCATTTTTGGTCGGTAAAAGTTATCCGCGACCAATTTTTTTGGTCGCTACTTTGGTCGCCAATTGAGGGTCGGCAAAAGTAATTCGCGACCAAAATTTTGGTTGGTCGGGAAAAGTCAGATTTGCCGACCAAATTTTTGGTCGCGAAATATATCATTACCGCGACTAATTCATTTAGTCGCTAAAACACTTTAGTCGCGAAAAGTGAAATTTTTCCGACCAAAAAGTTTGGTCGCCAATTATCACATTTAACGACCAAAAATTTTGGTCACAATCGTGACATTCCGCGACCAAAAAATTTTGGTCGCCAATCGTGACATTCCGCGACCAAAAAGTTTGGTCGCCAATTGTGACATTCCACGTGACATTCCGCGACCAAAAAGTTTGGTCGGCAGTTGTGACATTCCACGACCAAAAAAATGTTTTGGTCGCCATTTGTTACTTTTCGCGACCAAAACTTTTGGTCGGCAAAAGTGAGTTTCCACGACCAAGAGCTGTATTGGTTGGCAATTGATGTATTTTTTGCGACCAAAACTCTTGGTCGGCAATTGTCATTTTTTGCGAAAAAAAATTATTTATTTGTCGCGACTAATAAATTGGTCGCCAAAGCAGGAAAACAATACACCTGTAAATCCATAATAAACCTATAATTTTAAAGCATCATTCAAATTAACTGAATCATTAACATTCGACACAACACATAATTCATTAACATTCGACACAATACAACTCTAAATTGAAGCATTAACATTCAAACACATTCATTAACAACACAACACAATACAACGTCAGGGCGAGCAAAACTACTTGATCCTCTGCGGGCTGTAGCTTCAGCTGAGTGAGAAGCATCATTACCTCCTGAAAGACAAGGCATGAACCCAAATGTTCAATTCACAGCACATCCTATTTGGTTTGCTCAATCAAACAATGTCACAATACTCAAATTTGAAAAGAAATAAAAATACTTCAGCTTTCTTCATGATCTAATAAGGGATTTGGGGGGTAAGGCTTTAATGGATTAATCAAATTAAGTGAAAAACAATGTGCCATGAAATTCAAACACATCTTGCCCATATTAAAAAATAAATAAATAAATAAAAATTACGAAGCCAGGGGACAGAGCTACTGTAAATTGAAGCATTCCAGGTACTTGTCATCACCACGTATTGACAACAGTATATCTGTGCTGCTTTGTTTAGCTCAAAACTAGTTACCAGAAGGTCAATTTAGGTTTATATACAGGTATTACAGTGAGCTAGTTTAAATCTGTACTGCTCGGCTTCAGTGCTTATGTGTCTCAGACTTGCTAAAAATAAAAATTAAAAACGAAGGAAAAAGTGTGTAACATACTCATTTAAATCTTGAGCTAGTTTTGACGATGATGATGTACATGAACCAATGTCTTGACTCTCAGCAATGCAAGACACTGTAATTCCAATTACACAATAGCAATGAATCAATACGAATTTCAATTACTAATACTAATGTCATGAAACTTCCATCGTTTCACTCCCTGATGCATCAGATATTCATCTGCTCCCTCTCTTCAACAATATGCTCCCTCATATCCCACATAAACCACACACACCCCAAAACCAGACCTTCAATATATGAACTTAATGGAAATAAGGATGCCTAATACCAAAGGACAAAAAGTTCTCAGGTTATGCACTGGAAGAGATGACAGGTCAAAAGATTGTATGCAGAAAAAGAAAACCAAATAATTCCATAGCCCCTCCATGAAACTTCATGTTCCAAGTACAAGTTTAGGTACCCCATGCTAAAGATTTTCATATTTTATGCCTAGACATTTCCAATTTTGGGTGGATTTCTGTGCTGTCACATTTGTGTGCATTTAAATTTTCAAGTAGTTCTAACTTATTTTTATTAGCTTGATTTGAAGATCACCTTAAATTCAACATACAAATGTAGTAGATGGGCTAAATTTCATATGGGTTATCAATAACGCAATGTACAAACTACTAAGCATTATAGTGAGAACAAGGTTGATACCATCTTTAGAGCTGTCAGGTAACTCCTTGCAAGATTGCTTCCCCAAACGACATTTCTGCAAAAATGAGACACCAAATACAATGCCTGTGAATACATTAAAGATTGTTATCTATAGAGTCAGCGAATGAGCAAAGCTAGTAACAAATCAACAGAATGAAACTGAAAAAGAACGGTTCAAATTGGTATTCAAATGTACAACCAACAAAAAAATAAAGGCACAAAAAACCACAAAGCAAGAAGAAGATAACTTTAAATACCAATAGAGTATGTTCGAGTTATTTAAAATAAGTTTGTTGACCTTCAAGGTTTATCGAATAAAGTTTGTTATTTGTTTACATTTTGGGCTTATTATCTATTCTACTTTGTGCAGGCTGAAGAAGCTAAGCTTATCACTCAGTTGGCAGAGATGGATGCTATAAATTTTAGGCTTTTTAAGCAAGCATACAGTGCCTCTTTAGATGTAAGCAAGTTCTTGGGCAAGTATGAGATGTCCAAACTCCTTAGGGGGCCATATGACATCGAGGGAGCATGCGTTATAATTAAAGCTGGAATTTCAGGCTTCTATCCTGAGGTTTGATATTTATGTTCTACTCCTCAGTGTGCTTACTCTGCTTGCAAATAAGACTTGCATTAAAAAAAATTCATTTGGTAGTAATGATGACTTTAATCATTACTACCACCAACTCTACTACCACCATCGTTATTGTTATCGTTCCGAGAATCTGTCACTTGAGAAAAGCTACATAAACCGTTGACCTTGTCTACTTTGTAATATACGAGACTAATCTGGTTACTACAACAATATTATCCCAGTCATAATCCTTGTGGAAAGTGTTAAACAATAAATTACTTTGACAGCTTTGTGAAGATGGGATGAGGCTTTGTTGAGTTGGCTCATTGATAGATTTGTATCTGATTTTCGCTACTAGAATTTTCTCTTGATCTCACTGAATGATTTTACAAATTTCCCAATCCAGATATGGGCAGAACAGATACTGCAAATGTACATAAAATGGGCTGAAAAGCAAGGCCTTGGAGGAAGGATAGTTGAAAAATATCTTTCAAAGAATGGTGGTGTCAAGTCTGCAACTATCGAGTTTGAATCCAAGTATGCCTATGGCTATCTGTCAGGGGAAAGAGGTGTTCACTCTATGATAAGCGGTTCCCAAAATACATCTGTTTCTGATGAGGTATGAATTCCTGTCTCTTTTGGCCTTAAAATCAGATGTCAACTCATATGGCAAACCTCGCTCATGACACTAGGGTACTCAAACACCAACTCATTTGCCTTGGGCCACCCTAGATTTGTTGCATCTGTTAGAAGGATGGGTAGTGCCGTGTTGTGTCAGACCACTTTCTTAGAAGTGCCCAATGAGTGTCGTGTTGTGTCAGACCACTTTCTTAGAAGTGTCTCTACTTTGTCGTGTTGTGTCAGACCACTTTCTTAGAAGTGCCCAATGAGTGTCGTGTTGTGTCAGACCACTTTCTTAGAAGTGCCCAATGAGTGTCGTGTTGTGTCAGACCACTTTCTTAGAAGTGCCCAATGAGTGTCGTGTTGTGTCAAACCACTTTCTTAGAAGTGTCTCTACTTCTTAGATTACATCGTAATCCCCATTTACACGACAAACATTTTATCTAACTTTGGGTTGATCTGTAGTCTCTCCCAAAATGTGGAATCAAATTACAGATGAATTTTATACAGTTCAACCATTACATGTTCAACCATTACATGAACTTTATCGTATAAATGTTACTAGATTAGTCATTCATCATTATTCTCTAATCAGCTAGAGCCACATACTTACTTGAGATAGATCTATTATGAATTGAATGGAATTCTAGATACAGATAAGGCCAAAGGAGAAGGAAAAATTTAAGTTGTACCTCAATCCATGCTGCCAGTTTTGGCCTGCCTGCTGTGATATCATAATTCTTCACATCCAACAAGAAAGGTTGAAATCTTTCAATAAAAGGAGCATAAGCTATATCCACCTGAAAGGTCATATATATCCCTTGTCGATTAGAGGCATCACAGTATCTCAAAGAACAAACCATGAAGTTGTACCTCATCATACATTTCATAAGTAAAAGCCCAACATATCTTATTTTGCAGATCTACCTCTAAAAACTTGATGATAACAAGACTTGAGACCAGTATTTGATAAAACTCCAAGAAAAGACAAGTAGTTGAGAGAGGGAAAAAAAAAAAAGGGGACAAACCAAATATAAGGTTTCCACTTACAATACTGAACTGGCCGAGTAAAAAGGGTCCATCGTCAAATTTGGAGGGTGCGGTTTCAATGTAATCAAATGAAGCATCTGTTGCAGAATACAACTATTGTTTACCTATGGTTATTTTCAATATTTAACTAACTTGAAATCAGTATGTGTTCAAATCAGTATGTGATTACAAAAAGAATTGGTATAGCATCAAATAGCGAACCTTCTCCTCAAGCTCTTTATTCTCTGAGAACCATGCCTGGGCTGTGAGCAGATCGATCTCTTTCTTTGCAAGAACCTGTCACATAGAGCAACACCCATTAGCACATAAATGATGCAACATCATATATGTCCACATGTTTTGTGATTTAGCACTGAATGGGTTTTCACCTAAGCATAACAGCTACAAAAAGAGCCCAATAGAACAATATAGCAGAGCAGACAAGACAGAAGTGGACAGCTCTAGGAACTAGCCAGTTCCAACACCCAACCTAACTAATAGTATTAATGAACCCAAAAAGCTAAACAATAACTTAATTGGCAAAAACACTTGGAGCAGGCAAATGATAAGATGGAATAGACCTGCAAATATGTCCAACGCCCCTGCTGCAATATGATGAGACATTATTCCTCCCAGATTGGTGAACTAATCAATTAGATTGAATGGGATATGTAATTAAACCATTACCAAATCAAATATACAAGTGAAATCCAACAAATGAAGGCTCCAAAATTGATCAACATGATTAGGTTAGCCCATAATCAAAAGCAGGTATTATAACTTATTGTACTGGGACATAAAAATAAAGCCACAGCCACCAAGCTATATACTAATTTCTACAGTATCTAGTTTACCAGAAACGAATTATCAATTATATTGAGGTTCGAAAGAAAAATAACACAATAAAATAAACTACAACACAAATGAAGATTGAATAACACAAAAACAATAATCTCATTAGTCAGCATCTTACCTTGTCAATAGGTATGTCCTTTGCCTTTTGTACCTTCAGATCTACAACAAAATTGCTCGTATCTGCAAGGATCCCTCTAGCTTTGAGAGTCTCAGGAAAATCTCCCTTGTATCTGCCTGATACAATCAACGGGCTCTCAGACAAAAGGTCTGGAATACGAGAAGGATACACCTATCATGAGGATTGTGGGAATTCCTTGTTAAATCTTATGGAGGTGAATCAAAATGACAAGGCAAATTTTATAGAGCTAGATATGATCGACGAGAAAAACATCAACTAAGTAAAAATCTCTTAATGGTTCAGCACATAAAAGGTAAAGAATAGACCAGCATGACAGAACAACAAAATAAATGGAAAAGAAACTCTGAAGTTACTAACAAATTGCATGTAGAGCAAAAATAGTGTCGTGAAAATGAAAGGGTGTGTATAATACACTTTTAAGTTGCATTTTTGTCCACCTTTACATTTTACAATGTCCCAAAACAGTTGTCCATTTGAACAGTCATGGTACTTTAATTACTTATCCAAAAAAAGGGAGGTCAAGGTACATAATCTTATGTTTTTATAAAATTATCCCTTTAAGATGAGTGTGAATGGATCTACTAGTTTGTAATATAGGGATAGTTTAGAAAATTAATGCTTTACAATTCGAGTGATGCATTAAATTGTTGTCTCCTTAAAAACTTGGACTTCCATAGTGGAAAACAAATATGGGATGGAGAGAATAATTCTTAACCCAATGGAGATGAGTGCACAAATAGGATGAGGCAACTGAAATGTGTATTATATTATGACTTACAAGTGACTACTTCGTTGAAAATCTAACAAGAGGTTGCAATTATGTTTTGATATGTTGAAAAGAAATGCAGAGGAAGAAAACAACTCAGGGCAACCATACCTCAAGTTCATCAACATTTTCCATGGTGTCAAAGGTTATATTTGCAAGAGTGGTGGATAAAGCTCTACCAAAAAATGCTTTCATGCGAGCCTCAATTGGATCTGACCAAACAACAAGATTGGTTAGAAAAGCATTAGATTTAACATAACATCTATAAACTTTCAATAGCAAATAATGAACAAGATAACTATTGTTACTATTAGAAGTCATAACTGCCAAAGACACAAAAGGACAGCCCATGTATCACAGCCTTGCAATTTGGGAGGCCATCCCTCACCAGAAGGCTCTACAAGGCACTTGAAGGCTCTAGAGGTTAATGGAACTTTCTAGAGTCCCCTAGAGTCTTGCAGACAGATATAAAGACCTGTACTTAATTCTAAACATATAGATAGTATTCATGTACATTCTAGAATAGTCTATTAGAGGAGGTGGGAGTAGTATCTAGAATACTCTTAATCCTCTGGGTTCTGGGATATTCTTTGTAAACCTATAGAAGGGGAGGGCCTCATTTGCCCAACCCATCCAAGGAAATCCAAAAGTAATACAAGATCTCTTGCATTCACTTAATGGAGTAAACTGATCCAGTTGGTCCTTATATGATTGCAAATTTTAACATTGCAAAAGTCCAAACTTTTGAATTTACAAAGGTCTAGTTCATGCCCATGCATTATAATCAATAATTTTACATCAGCAATTCAATTACCATGTTTCCATGGACTGCTCACAAGGCCAACAAACAGGCGGTGTTCCTTGCATACACTTGGAAAATAGAAATTGTTTGGACCTAACTTAATCTGTCCCTGGACATGTCTAAGAAAATTTGAACCTCCTATAGGAATGCAGTATCATCTTATCAAAACCAATAGTATTACTCTCATTAAAAAATTACCTAAGCACTGGCACAATAACCAGGCTACCCAGCAAAACAAGCACCTAATTAGACCTTTTCAATAACCAGGCTACCCTCTTGAAAGCCAGCAAAACAAGCACCTCATTGGACCTTTTCCAAGGAATCCTTCAACCAGAATAACAGTTTAAGAGCCATCAGGGCGTCTACCCTTAATGGCTATAGTTTGTTTGTCACAAACTTGGCCACAAACATCTCGACCAGGCCTTCCCAGGTTTTCACAGTTCCTTTTAGCAACTTATGAAACCAGTTTGATGCTATCTCCATAAAGGAGGAGGGGAATACCTTGCACAACAGCTGCTTATTCCCGCTCCACAAAGCCATTGAATTTAAATACAAGCCGATATGAAAGTTTGGATCAGACTTACCGTTATAGATCTGGAACCACGACATGTGGAATTTCTTTGGGGCCTCAAACGTATCCAACTCCACCGAGAAAGGTGTCCTCAGCTTGACGGGGGATGTGATATCGGCATTGTGCCGTTTGCTCTGGAGGTAGTCTCTCAAATCCTTCTTCTTTCTTCCGGGAGCTTGGCTATCAACAGATTTCAGTCTCTTTAGCGCGCTGCTTTTAGTGTAGTTATGCGTTCTCTTGGACTTCCCATTATCCACTTATCAAAACAAAGGCCCTTCCCATGTGTATGCCGAGGTTCCTTGACATAGGTCCCCTTTGTTCATGGTGTCTTCTGCGACTCATCTCTTACTGACTCTGTTCGTCCGATATCCCGTGACAACTAATGTGAGTGCTCCTGTCCCTTGCTATGCTGCAGGACTACTAGGATTGTTTTTTGTCCCCTTTTCTGGGCATCTGTTTTGGCTACTGGTACCGTTGTGTCCTGCAACGGGAATGGTGGCTGCATCACGTTGTTTTGCATCATAAAATTGACAACCGATTGTAGGTTTGCCAACTTGTTTGCCGTCCCTTTTATCTCGTCATCCCTCCTCAGGCACCTATCCTTCCATACCTGGAGGTCACTTTCATTGTAATACTTATCTCGGCTAACGCTCTTTAGGGTTATCCTCTTTGCCAACATCCCTCTCCCCAGAATTTGGATCATGTGCTCCTTCATTACGATTTTCTTCTCTGACATTAGGATCCATATGTTCCTCACTCTCACTGTCGATATTGTCCCCAATCTTTTCTTCTTGCCCGTTGCTGGCCATCTATTCTTCTTAAGTTCCCACAGACGGAGCCAAATTGTGGGTATTGAT